ATAGCAGGATCTCTCTAAATTGGGTAAGTGGGCAACAATGTGCCAAATGAAGTTGACATATGCAAGTGTAAAGTGGTGCACATTGGAATAAAACTTCAAATATATGTTGATGAGGTCTAAACTGCTGAGACAGAAAGAGATCTTGGGGTTGTAACAGATAGCTCCATAAAAAGGTTGATGGTGTGCAGCAGAGGTGAAAAAGTCAAACTCCATGCTGGGGATCGTCAAGAAAAGAAATGAGAATAAATTGGCCAATATTGTAATGTCTCCATATAGATCTGTGGTGCAGCCTCATTTGAAGTACTGTATCTGAAAAATGGTATTGCTCATCAAGAGCAGAACAGGGCAACCAAGATAATAATTTTGGGTTTAGACTACCTTTCATATGAAGAAAGGCCAAAGAGTCTGAGACCTCTCAGTTTAGAAAAAGATGAATGAGGGGGAACTTGATAAAATTATGCATGGGGTGGAGAGAGTGGATTGAAAGAACTTTCCCAAAATACTGAACCAAATGAAGTTGATGGACAATAGATTCTGGAGAGACTAAGGAAAAACATCTTTATTTAATGAGTAATTAAATTGTAGAATTCAGTGCCAGTGGATGTAATGATGGACACAATTTTTATTTATTATTTATTAAAACATTCATATCCCACATTTCCTTTTGGTTCAAGGCAGTTTACAATAATAATTAAAACATCTCCAGCTAAAACTGAACTTAAAACCACAAGCCCCAAATCCCTTCACCCTCCCCCCTTAAAAGATGTTTGCTGTGCAAATCCCCTCAAATGCAAACAGGCAGGCCTTGCAGCACTTTCTGAAGATCCCCAAGGCAGAGGCCCTGTCTCACTTCTTTTTTTTTTCAATATAAACTCTCCTCAAAAGGAGAGAATTTTATTGCTTTTAAATTTTCAGAAAAAAGGGAGGGTATATAGAGGGATTAAGAAAAGTGGTGAGTGATAAGTAATTTAGTAAATTAATCTTTTGTTAGTATTAATAGATTCCATAGCTTCATCCGTGGATGGACGATCTTCTTTCTTCTTTACCTGTCAAAAAGTAAAAAGGTTAGTTATATTAGTAATGTCATTTTGGGTTATTATTAGTATTGCCCTTTAAGGCACTTTTCAGAGTTCATCAGGTGTTGGGGCGTCTGCCTTTTTTGTCTCTCAGGTTGTAGGAAACACCTCCTACCGCTCCTTTTTTCTCCGGTTCTCCGTCTCCTCCTTCCGGATTGCTGTCATCATCGCTGCTAAACACTTTCCAATTAGCAAGTTCTGCTTCTTCCTCTGAACTGGTGTGTCTCTTCAAAAAGTCTTGTGCCTTGAAAATGGAGTCTATCTTCTCTCTTTTGTCTTTAAATTTAAAGACCAATCCTTCTGGAATCAACCACCTGTAATTAATTTGATGATTCTGCAAGAATGTGGTCAGTCCTTTGTATGCCTACCGCTTCTGACGAATTTCAAATGGTACATCTTTTAAAATCCTTATAGCCTGCTCTCCAGTCTTCAAGGGTGTCGCTGATGTCACTTTTAAAATTTGATCTCTGACACATTGTTTAGTAAACTTGACAACCACTTCAGCTGGCAGACCAAATCCATTTCTTTGCTTAATAAAACTGCTTCACTGCCCATCAGTGGTGCCAACGCTTCTGTTAACATGCTTCTGAGATCTTCCTTTTCAACTTCCTGGATTCCTTGAAACCGGAGAGTCAGATTTGATTTTTCCATTTGTAACATCAATAGCTTGTTATCTTGCATTCTTGTTTCTTTTCCATTTTGCTGACCTTCTTCTTGATTTTTTGTGTATCTTCTGTTGATACCCGACATTTCTTTGCAATCTTCTCCATTTTCTTGGCCGTATCTGTCAATTGGGTCTGTTGACTGCTGAAAACACTTTCCACTGACATGGGTCTAGCATGGGAGTGTCATCCATAAAGCTCTGCAACTGAACCGCCACCTAGTAGCGATCACCAGTGGCATTTAAAACAAAGTAAAAAATTAAAATGTTTACAGCCATGAAATCTTGCAGTGAACTTCTGTAAACCGAAAGGAGAGGTGATTCTGGAGAACTCCCCCTCCTCTTCAGACCTCCAACCTCCCCTCATGCTGTTTTGTGTAGGTCCCCCTTAGTTTTGTGTGGCATTTTGGATAACAGTGGGAAGGCAAAGTGAGGAAGTCCCTTTCCGCTGACAGAAATTCCTTTCATGAGCAGAGGCTTTCTGGAGGATCAAAATCTATATCTGGGATATTTTTTAAAAAAGAAAAAAAGGAAGTTGACATATTTGCATTTTGAAGTTGAAATTCTTGCAACAAGCATTCAGATCTTCTGGGGAAGTTTTATTTGCATGATGCAACCAGATGACTTTTTGAAAAAAATGCTTTCTTCAAAGACGTTCTGGTTCTGAATATAATAATATGTTTACTCAGTACACTGCAGACTTTTAAATGGAACTGTCAACCATGTTTCTAATCATTCTGTTTAATTAATTGAAGTATATGAAACAGTTAATCATATCGATAGTTGATACGTGGAAAGTAAGTCTAGATTTTCTTTATTTTATTATTGTAATAATTATACTTCTATGGAATAATAGTGCCATACCTCTGAGTCTGCTTTTCGGTAATGGCTTTCTGTTTACTTATGGCAGTTATAGTTTTTGACTACCTCATCCCACCATCACAATGTATGCAGAATATATGCTAATTTAGCTTTATGGAAGCTCTCAAGGGTCATTACCAAGGCATAGTGAAATATACTGAGGGCATTAATAATGACTGTAATAAAACTGGCTTTCAAAAGCATTAAGAACAACATAATGATGCCTGCAAAGCTGCAAATATCTTGGTGAAAGAATGAATGTGCATTAAATGGAGTTTCATTTTGGTAACATTCATTTTTGATTCAGATGAGTGTATAAAACAAGTTAATTTACCATTTGCAAATATCTAGTTAAAGATTTAATCATGAAAAGTGCATTTACTTTGAATGTGTTATTACTGCCAAACTGGCACCTTTGCAAATTGAATTGCTTTTTGCTGTAAGTTTCTTGGAAATTACAGAGTAGATAGAATACTGACCCTGTGGTTATGAGAGCTGATTATTGGGATTACAGGGGGAAAATGTAAATATTTTTTGGAAAATTAATTAAATTAAATAAATTAACATAATTAAAAATCTCAAAAAAGGTCAGGAGAGATGAAGTGTCTATAGGAAAGTTCTTTAGGATTGCATAGTTAATATATTTGATCAGCTAAGTGCATTCTGTCAGAGTCACTGGTGGATGGACTCATTAGACATGTGGACATTTAAGCTACCCCTGCAACTCGGCTGTTAGGTTTACATGGCTCCCAGACCATCTGGTTTTGCTCCCTGCCGCTTTGAAGTGGCATTTAACCAAACCAAGCCATTTAATTCCCCATGCGGCACTTCACCCTTTCCTTTCTGCTGGCCGGGGAAAGCCATGGCCAACAGACAGAAGTGGTGAAGTGCTCCCTAGGAGGCTTTCTGTGGCCAGCAGAAAGGAAGGGGGAAGAGCCTCCTGGGAGGCACCTCATTGCTTCCTTTCTGCTGACCGGGGAAACCACAGACCAGAGGGGATGAAGTGCACCCTAAGAAGCATTTCACCCCCTCCTTTCTGCTGGCTGCAGAAAGCCTCCCAGGGGGCATTTCATCCACTCCAGTCTGCTGGCTATGGCTTTCTTCGGCAAGGAGAAATGAAGGGATAAAGTGCAATGTTCCCTCTAAACTGCAAAGATTTGTGAGCCAAAATTATACTCCTAATAGGATTAAAGTTGTGAGCAAGCCTACTTTTACAAAAGAAAGAAAGAAATTAGATGGGGAGAGAGGAAGGAAGGAAGGAAGGAAGGAAGGAAGGAAGGAAGGAAGGAAGGAAGGAAAAAAAGGGAGGGAGGGAGGGAGGGAGGGGCAGGGGCAGGGGCAGGGGCAGGAGGGAGAGCCCCCCATCAGCTGCTCGCTTTAAAGGGTGGGCAGCCATTAGAGTGCTCCATTTGATGCCTGCAAAGCTGCAAGAAGAGGCACAAAGCCAAAGGGAATGCTGAAATGGCTTCCCACCATTTAAAACAAACAGCTGACCAATGAACCCAACAGTCAACTATTCACTTTCAGTGGCTGGCATCTTCCCCTCCCTTCGTCCCCAGGGAAGGGGGGAGGAGACCTCAGCCAGTGAGGGAAGAGGAGGCTTGGCTTTGTGCCTCTTCCCTCAGGGTGGGCTGCTGCACAATGGCAGCCCCAGGGAGGGGGAGGGGGCCAACCCACAAGGACCCCTGAGCTGAGCTAATGAGCTCTCTGCTGTAGGGGAAATCAGTGCACCAGCATAGGCTGGCACATGTTAGTGGGAACCCTGGTGAAGTGCCCCCTGGGACTGCCCCCTCAAAGCCATTTAAATATGCCTGATCTGCTCCCCACTACTTTGAAGTGGCAGGAAGCAGAACTGAACAGTTTAAATGGCGTGGAGCCATTTGAAACTAACAGCTGAACAGTGGGAAGCTCCTGTGGCTCAGATGTTTTTTGTGAAGAGTAGAAAGCAGGGGTCTCATAGCCATTTAACCCCCTTTTTTCTGCTGTTCATGAATCACCACGGACTGCATCAAAGTTTGTGGAATTTCGTAGCAGTTTTAAAATCCATGAACATGGGCCCATAAACCACTAACCAGCCAAAGTTCATCACAAACTTTATGTAAGTCACAGGAGCTGGTTTGTGCCCATCCCTACTTTCCACCAAACTGCCAACCTAACTTTATCTATCCGTCTTTATCTGTCAACCTAATTTTATCTGTCCCTCTGCTGACAGCTTTCACCTAGGAAAACTATGGCCTTTTGTTTGGGGCCAGCCACAGGGCCAGGCCTACTTGCATGGCAGGGAGCCCTGAAGTACCTGTAGGAGGCACATCACTTTTCCCTGTATACCCCTCCTCATATTATTTCCCCTTTCCCTCCTCCTGGTGATTCTCATATATGTCCTTTGCTTATGTTTGTTTCAGATACAACACTTTTTTTCCCATCATTCAATGAGAACTCATATTTAGAACTACCTTCTGTATCATCTCTAACTGAAGCTAGATTTGCATCAGGGCAAGAACGGAACAGAATGATGATCTACTTGACAGTGAAGATAACAGCTTCAAAAGGCACTCTCCTTTATAGTAAGGATGGATACTTAATTATTTTTCTAATGTTCTTCTGGTGTGCAAATTGTGGTAGAGTTCTGATCTCATTTTTAGTTTATAGTTTGACAACAAGCTGTAACTTCTACAGTTTTGTAATATCACTGTTGAAGGGAGAGATAAGAGCTAGAAAAATTAAGAAGTGAAGAAAATAAATTTTAAAAATAGTTATGAGAGCATCATTTATTTATATGGGACACCCAAGCTGATATTTTCTCTTCCATGGCACTAGGATAAGTCTCTCTGTCTTAGCCTAACCCAAGCAGACGGCAGTCATGGAGTGGGAGCTTTTCTTTATTTTTTGTCCTTTGAGCATGCACATAAGCGCTCATGGGAAGTATCGCTTAAAACTCCTGGCAGCTGATGGCCAATAGGATTGCAGATGAGGCTGCTGGGATTTGTAATGTGGCTGGGTGGGCAGTGTTTTTTAAACTGTGCTTTTTTAAAATTAAATGTTTCAAAAGTTTCAAAGCTGGAGGGAGAGAAAAAAGAAGTCTCATCCTGTGTCCTGTGTGCTGCTGACATTTTTATTTAAAAGCTTGGAACGAAGCTGGAGTCATGGCATCATTCTCAGACTGCCTCCCTCCCCCCCCCTCTAAAAAACACAGCTTCTCAATTAACCTCTTTCCCAACCATGTGGGCCCCAAAGGCAAAACGCATAAGCATCTTTCTTTGTAAGTTTTAAAAAAAAACACACGTGGGGTGAAGATCTGCTTAAGCGCACAGAGCTAAATGAATTTTTTAAATGATGCCGATGCATGTGTGCTCTCTAGCTTTCCAAACGGCTTGATTTCTCAAAAAAAGTTCACACACCAGGAAGTGCATGGTGAGACCAGTTCAATCTGTAAAGGTCTGCTTTTTTTCTGGTGTTGGGAAAGTCAGCTGTGAGTATGAGCTACCAATGACTGAAGAATGGGAGACAGATGTCACTGTCTGAACGGTCATTTTTAATCCATATGGGAGAAGCAACAAAATCAGGTCAAATACCCCATCTGATTACAGAACAAATGAAAGCTTATAATTCTATCATTGGGTTCAATAGTGAGCCTCTGCACTTTTTGGTATATTCTTTGAAATATGCATATATGGTGGCTGAGATCTAAACTGCTGAATGTGGATGTTCTCTTTGTGCATGAAGGTGTTTAATCTTTCCTTTTCCAATGGTACCTTTTACATGTCCTGAAAAGTGCCCCCAGGTCAGAAGAATGGTGCAAAATCACAACACATGAGCAGTTGCTGCCGTAAGAAAATTTTGCCTTCCTCGCTATGTGTGAGCATAAGTGCTTTCTAATTGTACATAGGGGTGTTTTAGTTTTCATGTATTTTTCACCAAAATATTCGTCTTTCAGTAGCATAGATTAGTGTATTTAAATAGAAATAATTTAGCTCTTAAAATAAATATCCTAATCTGTCAGCCAGCCATGCAAATTTTAAAAATCTTTATTTTTAATGAAATGTTTTAAATTTAATAGTATAAATATTATGACATTTCAAAGTGGGTATATTGCATAAAAAGTTCCAAAAAAATTATAAAATGAAAGGCATACTATTATCAATCCACTAATATGTCCATGAAGATTTTGAAAGAAATGAGGAAAAGTTGCTTTTTATTTTTCATGTAAACATAGGGTAATGACTGGAGGAGTAACAGTTTACATGAGCATGAAAGAATAAAATTCTTAGAGATAAGGGTTTTTTAAAAAAATACTATTTTATTTTACACTAAAGCCTAAGGGGAGGGGAAAGGGGAATACATCTAAAACTACAAAGCTAACAAAGATCTGATACAATAGAATAGATCATTTTACAGTTTCCCTGGCTTTTAAGAATACAGATGAAAGTTAAACTAATTATTCCAAAGATAGTTCAGTACAAACATTATAAATATTCCTAGACCAAATAAGTGGATTGTGATATTGTGCTTAACAATAATAAGTTTTCAACTTTTATATTTATTTCTTCTTCTTCTTCCCTTTATGCTTAGTAGCTTTGGGGGCAGCTTCTCCCAAATCAGATTCTGAACCCCCTTCAGAAGAACCGCTCGATGAATTAGTGGTAGTTCTCAGTCCATATTCACTGTCATCATCTTCTGTCTTGCCATCCTCTGCTTTCTTTTCCGCTTTCTCTTTTTTTATATGTTTCTCCAAAAAAGCATCAGCTTTTGCAACAGAGTCAATCTTTTGTTTGGAATCCTTGAAGTTGAAGACAAGTTCTTCTGGTATCAACCATCTGTAGGAAATAGAATTCTTCTGTAAAAAGATTGTCAGTTTTTTATATTGTTGCCTCTTCTTTCTTATCTCGAATGGAATGTCTTTCAAAGTTTTTATATCTTCCCCTTTGATTTTCAAGGTAATCCCATTAGTCACTTTAAGTATTGCATCTCAAACAGACCTCTTGGCAAACTTCACAAGTATTTCTCCAGGAAGATTATTTTTCTTGATGTAGTTCAGATACGTCTGGTAAACCACATCCATTTCGCTTTGTAGAAACTCTGCTTTATAATCCATAATCGGTGCCAATGCTTTACTTAAAATTTCCTTGAGATTTTCACCTTTCTTCTCTCGGACACCCTGAAACCTCAAGATATGTAATGATTTTTCCATTTGTAATGATAATAGCTGTTGTTTCTCAGAGTCCTTCACTTTTTCCACCGCCTCCAGCCTCTGTGACAAATGTTTTGTCTTGTCATCAACTTTTTCCAACATTTTTTCTGTTTTTTCAGCTCTCATATTAGTTTCTTGTATTTATTTTTGGAGAGACTCAAAGTTTCTATTCAGTTAAGTCATCCGGTCCAGCAGAGGGCGCAATGCTGCATTCAACATGTTTGGGAAGTCTACACTAGCTTTCTGTTTGGAAGTTGTGGCAGCTGAAGTTGTCCTTCCTGAAGAAGGTCTTACCTTCGGCGCCATTTTCTAGCCCACCAAAGTTTGTTTACTTTAATAAAAAAAATTGGGTACGTCTTGGAAAGATTAATAGTTTATATTTTCCAGCCGCTCTCCACTTTGTTTGGGGTAGGTAACACTTTTTGGTTAGCTTTTCCCCTTCTACCTCTTAAAAATTGTTTCTGCTTCACTGTGGGGTGAGACCAGCTTTCCCGCCCCCACTAATGAATTAGAGGTTTTTGGGGAACATTGTAAGTGTAAATGTTTGTCTGATTTATACTGGAAAAAACTTATGCTTCATCTGAGTTTGCTGAAAATAGGGAGACCTTCCTTAAACGCTGGATCACTGCATGCTCTACTGCGGTGGCAGGACCCTGTGGGACAAAGGAAGAGCCTCTAACCTTAAGCTGCAGCTTCGGGAGAGGCTCTCCTTGCACCCCAGGCTGGAATCCCCCTACAAGGGCTCTGGGGGGGTGTCCAGAATTGTCCGGCACCCCTCCCTACCACTGCGTTACGGGCTGCTCCCTTCAGAGATCCGAGGGAGCTCACCCACCATTGAAGTTGCCGAAAACGGAAGTCAAATTCTTAGAGATAAGTTGTATTACCATCATTAGGATAATGCAGGCTACTTGTGTATAATATTTTGTTTTCTGTTGATTTATTGTATTAAAGATTGTCATTGCCAATCTTCATAAATGTATATGGAGAATAATTTTTTACTTTCTCAAGTTCCTCATGGGATGTTGGACTGCAGTCTGGTCTGGTTTCAGCTGCAATTTTCCCATGCTGTGACTGCTTGTCCATTGTATCATTAGACTAGTGGGCCATCCCTTTACTGAGCCTCTGACTCTCTTGTGCACAGTTACCTGATATTCTGTTATTCCCTGTGGGGATGTTCTTTTAAGCTGCTCAGCCTGCAGCTTCTCTGGAGAGTAACTATTTTCCCTAATTGTAGTTCATAACAGCTGTAAGCTCTGCAGGGTTGCTGGATTTAAGCTTCCGGGACAACTCAGCAGCACCAACAGAGAGGTTAAAAAAAATACAATAAACCCAGTGGTGATTTCACAAACAAGCTGTTAAAGATTACTTCCCCAAAGTAGAAAAACTCACCTTTTTATATGCCTTGCTTTAAAGGTGCTCTTATTTAAGATCTGGTAAACTGCACTGAAGGATGGGACAATTCCTGTGATTGGAGTTACACATATAAATGTGTTCTGTAAACAGATAATTTAAATTCTTTTTTGTATGTTTTTTTTTTACAAATCACCAACATACTACAATTTATTTATTTTTAAAAAGACGTATTGATCACTACCAATGGCTCCAAATGTCTACAGAATAAAATAGCAATGAAAACATGTCAAAATAAAATAGAAACAGCAATTAAAAAGGTACAACATGTAAAAAAGGAAATTCCATAAGCAGCCAACACAGCAATACAGTCAATATGAAAAACAGTAGAGCAGTCTAATGAACTTACAGAGCCTCTGTCCATCATCTTCAAGGCCTCCTGGAGGACTGGGGATGTACCACAAGATTGGAGAAGAGCGAATGTTATCCCATTTTTTAAGAAAGGGAAGAAGGATGACCCGGGAAACTTCAGACTGGTCAGTCTGACTTCTGTTGCTGGGAGGATACTACAGCAGATTTCAAAAGGATCGATCTGTAAGCACCTTAAGGACCTCTTAGTGATCCAGGGAAGTCAGCATGGTTTTGTCCCCAACAGATCTTGTCAAACCAACCTGGTTTCCTTCTTTGATTGTGTGATGAGCTTACTGGATAGTGGGAACTCTGTTGATGTGATTTACCTGAATTTCAGTAAAGCTTTTGATAAGGTTCCCCATGACATTCTGATGGGCAAACTGGAAAACTGTGGACTGGACTATACGACAGTTTGGTGGATAGGGAACTTGTTAGAGAACCGCACCCAAAGAGTGGTGGTCAATGGTGTTTCATCAGATTGGAGGGAGGTGTCCAGTGGGGTGCCACAGGGCTCGGTTTTGGGCCTGATACTTTTCAATATTTTTGGTCAAAATATCAATGATCTGGATGAAGGAGTAAAAGGACTACTCATTAAATTTGCTAATGATACCAAAT